GGTATTTTCGTTTTGGGGAGATAATCTAAATCTTTCTTACTTGCTCTGGTACTTGGTGAGAGTAGGAATAAATCTGTATGTTAGTAAGAGGAGTGTTCTCAAAAGCCCTGAGGTGAAGGTGAATTAGGGAAGAACAAGAATGTCTGAAGTGGAATGAACGAGGGGAAGTGATTTATAATGATGTCAAAAAAGCGAGGAAGAAGCAGATAATGTAGGGCATCTTAAGGCATGGTGTAGAGGTTTTTTGTTTTTTTTTAAGCAGATTTATTAAAGTTTAATAGACAAACAATAAATCACACAGTTTGATAGCACTGGCATATGTATACACCAGTGAAACTATCACCACGATCAAGATAATGAAAATGTCCATCATCTCCCAAAATGTCTTCTTATCCCTTGGAAATTTCTCTTCCCCTACTGGCTCTCCATCTCGTCCCCCAGGCAACCACTGACCTGCTTTCTGCCACTATATAGTCATTTGCATTTTCTAGAATTTGATGTAAGTAGAATCATAAAGTGCATACTCTTATTTTTACTGATTTTTTTCACTCAGCATACTTATTTTGAATTTAATGTAATTTTCTGTGTGTATCCTTTATTTTTCATTTAAAAAATTTATTTTTGGTTAGAGGAGGTAATTAGGTATATTTATTTGATTTTTGTCTTTTAAATGGAGGTACTGGGGATTGACCCCATGGCCTCAGGCATGCTAAGATTGTGCTCTACCACTTGAGCTCTACCCTCCCCTCTAAGAGTTCATTCCTTTCTATTGCTGAATGGTATTACATTGTATGGACAGTTTATCTAATTGTCTCTGATGGACATTTAAGTTAACTTTCAGTTTTTGGCTTTTACAAATAAAGCTGCTATGAGCATTCCTGTGCAAATGTTCACATGCACACAAGTTTTGGTTATGTATGTTGTATGCACGCATGCCTAATTCTTATTCTCTTGGATAAATATTAGGAATGGGATGGCTGGATCATATAGTTAGTGAATATTTGACCTGAGAAATTGCCTGTTTTCCAAAGGGATTGCACCATTTTACAATTCTACTAGCTGTGTGTAAAAGTTCATCTCTCTACATCCTTGCCAGTACTTGGTAATAGTAGTTTTTAAAATTTTAGTCATTTTAGTAAGTGATTAATGATATCTCATTGTGATTTAAATTAGCATTTCCCTGAGGACTAATGACATTGGATATCTTTTCATGTTCTCATTTGCTGTCAGTATATCTTTGGTGAAATGTCTGTTTAAATCTTTGGCTCAGTTTTTAATAGTAGTTAGAGGTAGTTAGAGGTCTTCATATATTCTGGCTGATGTTTCTTTATTAGATATATGATTTGGAAACACTTTCTCCTAGTCTGTGACTTGTCTTTTCATTCTCTTAAGTGGTATCTTTTGAAGACCAGAAGTCCAATTTATCATTTTTTTCTTTTATGGTTCATGCTTTTCGTGTCAAGTAGGAACTATTTGCTTAATCCTAAGTCACATAGGATTTCTCCTACATTTTATTCTGGGAGTTTTATAGTTTCAGATTTTATATTTAGGGCTATGATCCACTTTGAGTTAATTTCTTTGTATATATTACAAAGAATGGATTGAGATTCTGTTTAAAACATAGATATCCCATTATTCCAGCACTGTTTTTTGAAAAGGCTATTCTTTTCCCAACAGAATTGCTTTGTTGTCATTATATTAGTTGGCTGTATTTCTGAACTATGTGCTCTGTTTCATTTATCCATTTTTTTAGTCTTTACACCAATACCACACTCTCTTATTATTGTAATGTGTGTATAGTAAGTCTTGAGATTAGGTAGTGTTAAGCCTCAAACTTTTTTTTTTTTTTGCAAAGTTGCTTTGGCAATTCTTGGTTCTTTTCCCTTTTATATGAATATAAAACTGTCCTTTGCATATAGGGACAGTTTTATTTCTTTCCCTGTCAGTTTCTTCTCCAAAGTTTGCTGCAGTTTTGAATGGATTGCACTGAACCTGTAAATCAATTTGCAGAATTTGACATAGTAATAGTGATGAGGCTCCGAAACCTGAACATGACATAGCTCCTTTTATTTAAGTCTTCTTTCATTTCTATTAGCATCATTCTATAGTTTTCAGTGTACAGGTGTTTCACATCTTTTGTCAGATTTTGCCCCCAAACCTTTTGTATTTAAAAATTCTACTGAAGATGTTTTAAATTTTAATTTCTAATTATTTATTAATAGTATATGGAAGTACAACTAATTATTGTATATTGATCTAGTATACTTCAACTTTCCTAAGCTTACTAATTAGTTCTAGTACTTTTTTTTTGTAGAATACCTTGGATTTTTCTATATAGATCATGTTATCTACAAATGAATATGATTTTTTTCCTTTCCAAACCAGGCATTTTAAATTTCTTTATTTTTTTAACCTTATTGCACTATGTAGAACCTCCAATACAATGTTGAATAGAAGTTGTCTGAGTAATTCCTTCCACCTTATTCTTCATTGTTAGATTGTTTTAGCTATTCTAGGGCCTGTTCCTTTCCATGTAAATTTTAAAATAATTTTGTCTAAGTCTACAAAAAAAAAAACTTGCTGTAATTTTTAAAAGAAATTTCTTTAAAGCTAGAGATCAACTTGAAGACAATTTAAATCTATATTATTTATAGTCTTCAAATCTGTGACCATGGTCTGTCTCTCCAATTATTTGATTTCTTTCAATGGCATTTAGTAGTTTTCTTCTTAAAGATCCTACATGTTTTGATAAGTGTAAGCCTGCAGTTTCTTTGGAGTGACTAAAAATGGTTTTATGTTTTTATTTCCATTTCCATGTTTTTAGTAGTAGTATATAGAATATGATTGATTTTTGTGTTGATCATGTATTCTGTTACTTTGCTGAACTCAGTTGTTAGTTTTAGGCATAATTTTGGTAAATGCCTTTGGATTTCCTACATAGACAATCATTCATGTTATTTGCATGTGGGAACAGCTTTCTTTCCTTTTTGATCTATATGCTTCTAATTTTGCTTTTTTCTATTTTTATCTTATGTATTTTTTATTGAAGTGTTGTTGATTTACAGTGTTGTGATAACCTTACTTTCTTGTGTTATTTTAGTGGGTAGAATTTCCAGTACTATGTTAATTTCTAGTGGTGAAAGCAAACATCATGGTCTTGTTCCTCACCTAAGAGACGAATTGTTCAGTCTGTCTTCATTAAGTATTATATTTTCTGTGTGGGTTTTTTTTTTTTGAGATGGTCTTTATCATAATGAGGAATTCCTCTCTGTACTATTTTGCTGAGAGTTTTATTCATGCATGAGTGTTGGATTTTTGTCAAATGTCTATTCTTTGTCAATTGATATGGTCATACACTTTTCTTTCTATCTTGTTGGCTCATAGGTTAACTGATTAATTTTTAATTTTGAGCCAGCTATGAGTACTTGGAATACATTTCACTTGGTCATAGTGTATAATTCTTTTAATAGATTGTTAGATTTGGTTTGCTAATATTTTGTTGAGGGTTTTTCTGTGTAAGTTCATGGGTGACAATGGTCTGCAGTTTTGATTCATTGTACTATTTTGGTAATAATTTCCCTATAAACTAATTGGGGAAATATTCCCTTCTCTTCTATTTTCTGAAAGACATTGTGTAAAATCAGTGTTAATTCTTTAAATTTTGGTAGGCATCACCAGTGAAATCATCTTTTCTTTTTTGCAAGGTCTTTAAGAATCAGCTTTTTACATAGTTATAGGACTCTGCAGATGAGTCCTTTTTCATCTTGGTTGAGTTTTGGTGTTTGAAGAAATGGTTCATTTTTCTACCTTGTCAAATTTATGAGGCTAAAGTTGTTCATAATATTCTCATATTATCCTTTTAATGACTATAAAATCTATATTAATTTGTTACTATTCAGCTCTACAATTTCCAACATCTTTTTTCATTCTGATCTGTTTTTTTTCTTTGATTGACTTTGCTCTTCATTATGAGTATCATTCTCCAGTTTCTATAATAATAGATTTATTATTGTTATAATAGGTCAGGAACAAGACATGATAATTCTTGATTTGATGGCAGATGTAAATTTTACCTTGTGGGCGCTAAATACTTTTGTGTTCCAATAAATATTTTTGAAGCCTTTTTCTGTAGTTCAGTTAAGTTACTTGGAAACAGTTGTTAGGCGGCACCAGAGCAAGATTTAAATGTAGAGCTAATAATTTCCCACTATTGAGGCAAGGCCCTTCTGTGTATTCTTCCCAATGCCCCATGAATTGTAGTGTTCCAGTCTGGCTGGTGGGAGCAGGCATTAATCTTGGCTTTTTGTGAGCTCATTACTGTTTCCTCCTTCCTTTCTGGTGTCTTTTTTCCCAGACTCTGCTTTTCCTTACATACATGCACTGACCATTACTCAGCTGAGTATCTGAAGTGGACCCTCTGCAAGTCTCTGGAGCTGTCTTTCTGTGCAGTGTTCTCCTCTTTGGTCCTCTGCTCTCTGAATATAGCTGCCTTGGTCTCTCTGTACTGTTAGTTCTTTCTCTTCCACTGTGGAAGTCTGCTGGCTCCTGCATGGGTTCCCTTTTGCTGTGTTAGGTAAAAAGGATTAGGTATTCTCCCTATCCCTTCTATCTTATTTCCTTTCTGCCTCGGGTAGAAAGTATCTAAGATAGCTACCAGTGATTCCCACCTTCTGGTATTCGTGGCCTTTTGTAATAATGCCCTCTGCATAGAAGCAGCTTCTAATCAATAGAATATGGTAAAATTGAGGGGATGTCACATATGTCACAAGGTTATGAAAGACTGTGACTTCCGTCTTGCCTACAGACTCTTCCTCTTGTCTCCTTAAATAAGCAAGTTGCAAATTGAAGAGTCCTATGTGGCAAAGTACTGTGGGTGGCTTCCATCTAAAAACCAGCAAGGACACAAATGCCCTCAGTTCAGCATTCCTTGAGGCACTGAATTCTGCTAACAATCATGTAATTGAGCTTGCAAGTGAGTATTTCCCCATTTGTATCTTCAGATGAGAGAGACTGCAGCCTGGGCCAATACCTTGATTATAGATTTGTGGAAGACCCTGAAGCAGAGGACCCAGATAATCCATGTCCAGATTCCTGACCCACAGAAAGTGTGGAACAATAGATGTGTGCTGTTTTAAGCCACTAAATTTCGGGGTAAGTTGCCACTTTTCAATAGATAACTAATAGTACCTTTTGGAGATTATATTTTATTTGATGGCTTATGCTTCCATCATTTGCTTTTTATTTTTATGGTAAGCATATATACAGTTGATATTTATTATTCACAGATACTGTATCTGCAAATTCACCTACTTACTAAAATGTATTTCTAACCCCAAAATCAATGCTCACAGTGCTTTTGCAGTCATTAACAGACACGTGCAGAGCAGCAAAAAATTTGACTTGCCCCTTGCACACATTCCCAGCTGAGGTTAAACAAGGGGATGCTTGGCCTTGTTCCAGCTCTCATACAGAGATGACTAGAGGATGGAGACGGTAGGGGCAGTGCAGCGTAGTGCAAGGAACTCCAGCTCTGAGGCCAGTTGGACAGGTTTTAAATCTAACTCTGGCCCTAGTTGTTGGAGTGACCCCAGGCAAATCACTTAACTCTTCTGAAGCTTGTTTTTTCTTTTGTAAAGAAAAAAAAAAAAGGAATCCACCAAGATGAGTTGTTTTTAAGATTATAATCTTCAGTTACACAAAGCTGTAACTGAAGATTATAATGTATTTTGTTTTTATTTATTTCCCTTTGGAGAAATTGTTCAGTATTCACTAATTATGTGTTTGCAGCAACTTAATAGAACATAGCTACCATGGATAACAAGAATTAACAGTATACATATTCATTTTTACATTTTTAAAAACTAAATGGTAACAGCATTTTTTCCCTACTTTTTTTTCTCATATAACATTATATCCTAAAGTTACCTCCATATTAGTGTGTAGAGTCATTTCTCTCTGTCTGTCCCTTATAGCTGAATAATACTGTTTCATGTGTATACCGTAATGTAAACCAACAAGACCTCTGTTAGTAGATATTCAGGTTGATTGCTGTCTTTTGGTATTAAAAATAGTACTGCAATAAGTAACCTGTATATATGTATATGTGTGTGTGTGTGTGTGTGTGTATTTTTTTTCCCCGTGTATCTCTGAGCTATATTCGTGGAAGTGGAATTTCTGAATTAAAGGGCAAAAGCTTATATGTAGTGTTGTAGTTTTAGAGATATGTCCATACATTCTTTGATAATCCTCCTGTTAAGAAGTGAAACTTATTTCCTATCCCTTTGATTGTGGGTATTCTTAGCGACTCACTTGTAGCAAATATAGAAATAATGAGATGTCATTTCCAATTTAGGGTATAAGAAGACTGTGGCTTCCATCTTAAGTGTACTCTTTCACTCTCTTCCCCTTGACTCACTTGGTCTGGACAGAAGCCAGCTACCATACTATGAGGCAGGCTTGGGAGAGGGAAGACCCCTACTATGACATGAAGATAATCACGTAGCCTAAGGAAGTGTCCCCATGGAGAGGAACTAAGCTTGAAATTGAAATTCTGAGGCTTGTCATCAGCCACTTACTGAGTTTAGAAGTGTAACCTCCTCCATCTGAGCCTTGAAATAACTGCAATCCTGGCTGACAGCTTGACTGCAACCTCATGAGAGACGAGACCTGAACCACCCTGCTAAACTATTCCTAGATTCTTAATTCCCAGAAACTATGAATAAAATAATTACATTTATACTTTCAAACTGCTAAATTTCAGGTAATCTGTTATAAAGCAACAGATAGCAAATACAGGTAGTTTTGCTACCTGTTGCCCAATCTCCTATATAAGGGCTATACCATGTTTCTGTCCCATTAGTAATATATGAAAAGTTCCAGATTCCCATGGCCTTACTAACACTATGTATTTCTAAACTTAGAATCCTTTTTTTTTAACAAGCTAATAGATGGAAAATAGTACCTTACCATGACTTTAATTTTTCTTTCATTATGAAAGAGGCTTCCTCTCCCTTCAACTTCTTTTTAAATGAAATATTAGCTTATGCTTCTCATCAGTCTTAGGATAAAGAACTAATGTTTTCACAATTTATGCCTGGTTCTCCATGATTTGGCCCTTTCCCATATCAACTTCCACTGGCATCATTGCTTGAGGATTCTGAATTAATCATTACCATACCCTTAGTGTGTAATGCAGTGAGTGACTATACTTTCTTAAGCACAAGACATGCAATAAAGATTGATGTAACTGTGGAAGTTTAAACTGGAGTGATGATAGTTGCCCATTCTTACCCTTATCTTTGTCTTGACCAAATGTTAAGCCTCTTTCCTCCCCACATACCCTAAATTTTGGCTTGCCCCCAAGTTTAAACATACACTAAAGGACTAAGGATATGCAGAACATCCTCCCTTAACAGGGTTTTCTCAGAATCTGAAGGCCCGTGGAAACATTTCCTGTTGAAGTGCCCTGGTTTTGCCACTTGCACACCTCCACCTCTTGAAAGTACCTGTTAACTCTTCTTACCCCTCCCTATTAAATAAAAAGCCTTTTTCTGTTTGATTCTGTGAGATGCTCGCAGATTTCTGTGATTAGTGCATTCTCCCTATTGCAATCTTTCTGAATAAAATCTCTTCATATCTAAATCCAGATGTTCTTTTATTTGCACGGGAGACATAACTGCTAATATAAAATTGATGCTCATTTAATTACACACAAGCCAAAAATAAATCATGGGTCTTGTAAAATCTGTGATGATTCAAAATTGCATCTGTTCATGCACATGAAGATCAGTTTGTTAGTGTGCATTTAAAAAAAAAGTATAAAAGGTTGATGTAAGGTAAAGGTTATGTTAACAAGTGTTGTAATTGTTCATTTTTTTAAGCAAGCGATCTTTTTTCCTGAAATCTCTAACTACCTCACTCTCTTCCTCTCCTTTTCTCCTTCTGTTGTTTTGGTGTCCTCTGTCTCAGCCTGCCTCAGTCTCCCGTGTTGTGTCCTGTCCCGTAGCTTCCCACTTTTGTTTCTGTACATCCATTTTTCACCTTTCAGTCTCTCATCTCTCTTCCTACACAGGCCTCTCCTCTGCCCCCATTATCTTTCTCCTAGTCTCTGATTCTCTGCATCTCCGCTTCCCTGTCTCTCAGTTTTACTTTTTTTCTTCAGTCCGCCTCTGCAGCTTGCTACTCAGTAGTAATTTCCCCTACAGAATTCCTTATAACTGTTTTTTGCGTAAAGTTCATCATTATTGTGGATTCTCGCATCTCTTTGCCCCTTCTTCCCCACAGTGGAAGCTCCCGGGAGAGGACCGTACTATTTCGTGTTTCCACCTGTCTCGGCAAGTAGAATCTCCCGATATAGGGCTGTACCTTTTACACTTTTAAGTGAAGTCGCCAGTGAGAATATTTTACCACTTCATATTCTTGCTCTTTCATCAAATGCAGTTTTCTAATAGATGACGTTATCTGTCAAATTTCCTGCCCAATCCTCCTGTAAAAGTCTTTCTGCAAAATTTTACACGTTACTGGTTTGTATAATCCTCCTTTTTGTCACCTTTCCCCCACCCCGCTGCCACAGTGGTACAGCCCAGCCTCGGGTTTAGCGTAAACCTGGCTCCTCCGCTTGTACGGAACTGGCCGGCCTCTCAAGATGGCGGCCCCCTGGGAGGCACAGCGCACGGGGGCAGCCATATTGCCTCCTGAACAAAGCACCGGAGGATGCGGAGTGGGCAAAACCGCCCGGTAGGCCTGGGAGCGCCGCGCTTTGCTCACCCAGACAGGAAGCGGGAGAGTTCGCCACTATGGATGTGACAGCCGTCCTGGGTTAAGCTGCGACGGGCGTTTCTGGATCTGGATTTGATAAATGAACTGCAGGTCAGAGGGCGGAAATGTGTGGTGATGAATGAGTCTTTCGGATTGTAATGGAACGAGAGGGGTCCGTGAGTGTCATTGATTGGATGTTTATGAAGTTCCTGGCGGGGGGGGAAGGTATGTGGGAGTAGGGTTGGGTTTATTTGAGAGTCAGAGATTGGGTGAGCTGTGAGATTAGTAACTGGATAATGTGTCAGTGACGGGGTTGTCTGTGGGATCAGAAATGGCATGAAGGGGAACTGACTGGTGGAGATGACTGTGTCGGGGATTTATGAGACTCTGAGGAATCAGTGATTGGTGAGGGGGGCTGTGGACTAAATGACGGGACATCCATGTGATTGTCAGTGATGTGGTGAGCTTGGGGGAGTTCTGAGGGATGTATGATGGGTAGGCCGAGGATGCAGAGGTTTGGAGGGAGCAGTAGTGGGATCAGGGTGTCATGCTGATCAGCCCTAATTTTTTTTAACATACATTACATTTACACAGGTAATAAATAGGCAGCCTTATAGGTCAAATCCCTCCTCAATCCACCATTATGCCCCTAGCCTGGTGCCCTCTCCTCCACAAAAATGATAATTTTGAAACAAGACCAAACAAATCAAAAAAGATAGGATTATGATGAAAAGTGTAATTTTAGTCCCTCTTCCTTCTAAGTTTATTGAAATCATTTTATATTTTATTCAAAAAACATTTATTGAGCAACTGCTGGGTGTTCAGAGATGAGTATGACTATTTTTCCTGATTGTTTCCTTCCAGATCTAATTTGACATAGCTTGGAATACCCCATATAAAACAGCCTCCGTGGCGTGGGAGCACTCACTTCCTCTGAACAAGTTCAGTCATGTCTGCATGACTCCTTCTGGGACTGAGAAAGATTTACCAGGTATGTACCTTCCTGCATTACGGTATATTCCCTTGTTGGTATCAATGGTTCCAACATATCTCTACTTTTATATGCATTTGACCATACTGTTGAAAATCAGCAATAAAAATTTAAACATAAAATATCTTAAAATTAACAGTTTGGTCCATGAAAATTGATTGGTAGGAAAGTTTGCTTTTGCTCTGTTTGCTAAGAAAGAGGGGAAAATACAAGAGCTCTTGGGAGATTATCAGAATTCAGCTGCTGATTCTTTTTGGGGAACAAAGTAATAATACATTCCTCAGTTTTCCATTTGGTCATTGGCCATTCTTATTGCCTGGGAACTTTATCTTTTTATATATCTATCTGTTCATGTTTATTGCCTTATGAAAACATCGGAATGGATTTGCTGGTTCATAGAGGGGGAAAATAAGTTGTCAATAAATCAATATGAAACATATCTTCACATCTATACAATTAAAAAACTTCGTCCAGGTTCCATGTGATCATCGTATGTAGTCACGAGAGGACTTCCTTCACTTGACACTTGCTGATCCTCTGTAAGGACCACACAATCTTCTCCCACAGGTTGGCCTATCATCTACCTGACTTCTGTGGTAGTTGTTTCTACGCTGGTGAACATGGAAGCTGCAGTCTGGATCTGGTCTGTGAAAATATCCTTCTGATTGCCAGAATTTTGAAAAATTTTGTTTTTTCAGGCATCTGCCCTTTTAGAAGAGAGCAGAAAATGATGAAGTCCCACGTGAGTTGCTTTGAGTTTTAATTTTTAAAATTTCCTTTTTTGGTTTTCCAAACAATCAAGTGGAAAAGCGAAGACAGCTAAAATTTGGATCAGGGAAAAGGTAGCCAAAGTAGATATCCAGACCTAGAAAGAGTTGCTAGGTGATATGTAGATAAACCATTTTTAAAAACTGGTGTACCAATTTTTCTTATCTTTCTTGCAGGTGTCATCAGTTACAGGATTTGTAGTGCTCTAAAGAGAAGCAGATAGATTTCCCACGGGAAGACGTTATTTCTTTCCATATAAGACTAGAACAGATTTCCTTTTGGGGTCTTTCTCTAGGTGATAGAGTCCACAGTGTTCTCACTAACACTTCTGTAGTAAATGCAATAATAAATTTCTTGTAGCTGTATCCATAAAGTGATTTCTTTTAGAGGGAGGCTATCATAATGTCATAGCCAAACTCTTTAAACTTTATCCTTTATGGCTGGAGTCATCAAACTGTTGCCTGTGGGCCAAGTTCAGTTCTCCAGATGTTTTTATAAATGAAGTTTTATTGGCAGTACAGCCATGTCGTTTGTTTACATGTTGTCTGTGACTTTTTTTGTGCTACAAGGGCAGAGTTGGGTAAGTACCATATGGCCTGCAATGCTGAAAATATATACTTTACTGAAAATGTCTGTTGACCTCTGCTTTGAAGGACTAGATTGATTATAGAGGCTTCTTATTGTCCAACTTTATCCACTGATAAAATCTGGATAATGGGTACATTTTGAATGGTCTTCCAAAATATATATTTCTCTCAAAAGGCAGTTCTTAAAATATAATTATTTGACAAAACTTTGGAGAGTAAGTGTCCCTGCTGCTCTGTACCCTTTACTATGGTTTCAAAGTTTGTAGGATTACTGCCCAACTTGAGGCCAGTTTCTTCTCTGCATTTCTGTTTTTAAAAGTCTATTTTTTTTCTTCCTGCCGATGTTCACTATTTACATGGTATAAAGATTTTAACCAAATAAAAAGATAAAAATTTAAAAACTGAGAGACCTTTTAAGTCCAGCTCTTTTCCTCTGAGATGATTAGTGTTAACCATTTGTCTCTAACCTTCCAAACCTTTTTCACTGTGAGTATAACTGTGATTAAGTGTGTATATGTGGTAGTACAAAGGGTGTACTTTATTTTCTCATCCTTTTCTTTTGAGAAAATAATGTTACAGTTTTGTCTTGCAACTTGATTTTTAATTTTACTGTCTATTACAAAGGTTTTTGTATACATTTTGACTATCTTCCCATGTCAGTACATAGAATTCTCCTTTATTGTTTTAGCAGATGCGTAATATATCCTTGTGGCCCAGTTGACTGAGGTGGTTTCTTCATCTTAAAATGGAGATTATAATCCTCATAGGGTTGTTGTGAGGATTAAGTGAGTAAAAACCATGCTTAGAACTGTAACTGGGGATGATTTATCTTATATTTAAGTATTAGCTATTATTATTATTATATGAAAATTATTATTGTCAAATCTTGGAATCAGCTTTTGCATTAGGAGTTCTTTGGTATATTTTACAGTAGAACTTAGCAGAGTTCTGTTGTAAAAAGGCAGATTTTTTTCCTTCTTTGGGTCTTAGTAGCTTTAGAGTTGTGCTGTCCAATACAAAGCCACCAGCCACATGTGGTTATTGAGCACTTGAAATTGGTTGGTCTGAATTAAAGTGTGCTGTAAGTATAAAGTACATACTGGATTTTAAAGATTTAATTCCCAGAAGCTCCTTAACAATTTTTAAAGATTGATCACATATTGAGGTGATATTTTGGATGTATTAAGATAAATATATATTATTGAAAAAATAATTTTTTGAACATTGCTACTCAAAAATTTAAAATTACTTATTTGGTTGACTTTATATTTCTATTAGAGCTGCTTTAAAGAATGAAAATGGATTTTTTTTATTAGCCCAATAAATCCAACTGTCATGGCCAATTAACTGATTATATGCTCGTTCCTTCAGGAAGAAGGATTTAAATTTTTTCCTTATGGTGCAGTAGTGCAGTTGTCATTTTCAGACCTGTCTATCCTACCTTTCTTCCTGTAACACCTGCTGACTGCCCGTCCATCTCCTCCATCTCTTCCATTTTCCCATTCACCCAAGTTGTACAAATTGCTTGTAGCAGATACAAAAGTACAATCTTCCACTGATTATGTACTGCATTTTACTCAAAATTAATAACATTTATACATATTTAGTATATTAAAGTATTCTAATATCATTGTTAAAGCAAAAGCAGAATGTTAGCATTATGTCTTTTTTCTTACCAGAATAGCTTTCCTCTACATTCTACATTTATTATCTTTCTTGTGTTACTGTTCTTTAGACAACAGGAATATTATTGACTAGTTCAGAAAACTGTTGTTAACCAAACATGAACTTTATTTTCCCCTTTATAATTTTCATTCATTCCCTTTTAGCAAACATTTCTTGACTACCAAATATATGTGATAGGCACTGGCTAGCTGTGGGATATCTCAAGATTTGGGCATGGTGCATTACTGAAAAGAATGAATAGAAAAATGGAGTAAACAGATGTGTAAACTAACATTAACACATTAAAGTTCTATAATAGGGATGGGGAGCCAGCAGAGAATGGGGAGCAAACAGCTTTATAAGGAAGTTGAGAACAGGCAGCTTAAAAGATTAGTGAACTTCTGATCATGTAGGGGAGTAGGATGAGGGTGGAAAACAGCATTTGCAAAAGTAGAAAAGGCTGAGAATTTGAGGAGAACTAAAGTGGAGGGTGTTTCATGGAAAGTTTGACCAAAGGTGGTATTAAGGCAATAAAATATGGGGGATCTTGTTTACAATATCAAGGAAAGCATTGTGTACAGTGGTCAAGAACACAAGCTATGAGTCAGAATACGTGCTTTTAAATCTGACAGTTAGTTAATTAGTCATATATTCAGTGTGTAACCTCTGTCAAGGAGTTACTTAACCACTGTAATATCCTCAGTTTTCTCATATGTAAGGTAGTTTGATATGAGAACAAAGTAAATGCTTATTTAGCAGCTTGATGATGTGAATAGGAGACTTGGTGTGGGATGAGAGAAACCCTAAGACTGAGATGAAACCAGATATATGTGCAAGGGTGGAACCAAAAGAGTCTTTTAGGTTGGGGAATGTTGATCTTTCAAACAATGTTTTCTTTCTGAAAGCAATATTTGATAATAAGGGAATTACTAGGAAAAAACCTCAAAAATAGTTTAAAATAATAACAAATCACTAAGATGCCACTATTAGGTGACAACTCTTGTGAACGTAATGGTGACATGATTAAAATAGTCAGTTTACCCTCCAGAAACATCATATGGCTCTACAGTTGTACCCAAATCCTTTACTTCAATGTCACATTGATAATTTGTCGTGGTTTTTTCATGAATGTTTCCTATATATTTCTTGTTGTGTTTTTCAACATTGCTGTTATAATTGATGTATCTCATTATATTCTTAGCTATTGCATATATATAGAACTGTTAGATTTAGGGGAAGCTAAGATTTTTTACCTATGAAATAAGGCAATTGGATTATAATCTTCAAGAACTCTGACATTCTCTGATTCTCTAAAAGTGGCTTTTCTTTTTTTTTAATGTTATACTTTAAAAAGCCTTCTTTATAATTATTAATAAAAATCCTCCCAGGTTTTGTTTTGTTATTTTATAGTTTTGGGTATTTTTAGAGTTTAAATTTTTGCTCAATCCAGAATATATTTTTTCTGTTTTTCCAAAACATAAGATATTATTGTATTCATTTGCTTAGGCTGCCATACATAACAAAACACCACAAACTGAGTGGATTCAACAACAGAAATTTTTGTGTCATGGTTCTGGAGACTGGAAGTCAAAATTCAAGGTATCAGCAGGGTTGGTTCCTTCTGAGGGCTGTGAGGGAACGATCTGTTCCAAGTCTCTTTGGCTTGTAGATGATTATCTTTTCATGTCTCTTCATACCATCTTCCCTCTTTGTATACTTCTCTGTGTTCAGATTCCTCCTTTAATATGGACATCGGTCATATTGGATTAGGGTCCACCCTAATGACCTTAATTAACCAGTTACAACTACAGTTACCCTGTTTCCAAATAAGGTTACTTTGTCAGGTATACTAACGATTAGGAGTTCAGCCTATGAATTTTTAGGGTATACAATTCAGCCTTTAACATGTGGGTTCAACATTATTCTTTTCCTGTTAACTGTCCAGTTTCAGTAGTATTCATCAATAATCTGTCTTCCTCAGTTCTTTGAATGCTGCCTTTATCGCTTATTAATTTACCATTTGTATTAGATAGGCATTTTACAATTTTGCTTTCAGTTTCCTGTTCTGTCTGGCTCTTCTTGCTGAAGGCAGGATTTTACATCATATATCCCAAACACTCTGATACAAAACTAGATGTAGGTATAGTTTTGCGTACTGTAGAAATGATGAGAATGATCACTTTAGATTGAACAGGAATATACTCTTACAGGGGTTAGTATCATTCAAGGACGTGGCTGTGGATTTCACCCAGGAGGAGTGGCAGCAGTTGGATCCTGCTCAGAGGACCCTGTACAGGGATGTGATGCTGGAGAACTACAGCCACCTGCTCTCAGTGGGTAAGGGTGGCCTCCCTGGGTAACTCAGACTTGTCCAGTCAAGTGCCTTTCCTTATCAGTCGCCATGGTTAGGTGGTTCCTGAGTATATGATCTTTATACCTTCCCAAATGGAGGTCATTAGTTTGCTGAGGGCCAAATGGACTACTTCAGTGTAGACCTCCTAAACTGCACCTTCTCTTTTGCCTTCTGTGCAGTCTATCCCAATTCCTCTGTGATTTCCATTTAATAGGGCATCCAGTTTCCAAACCAGATGTCATTTCCAAGTTGGAACAAGGAGAAGATCCGTGGATCATAAAGAGAGACATGCCAAATTGGGTCTATCCAGGTGAAAATCAGGCAGATGGGAAGTGAAATATCAGTTTGTTTGTTTGTTTGTTTGTTTTACTTCATTGGTGTCTGATGCTTTTGTTTGTCTCCTTAGTGAATTCTCTTATTCTTTGTTTCTGTGCTGAGAATTTAGTAGACACTCAACAAATAATTAATCAATTAAATAATTGTAAGCCTTTATAGGGGATAGCTATTTCTTATTGATCCTCCATGTATATAATATTTATTATATTTTTTATTAAGTATTTATTACATTTATTTACTGTATATGTAATGCCTTTTATGAAAAAGTTTAATAGGCAATAGAAGACAAACCCCTTCCAAGAGCATACATTGTACTTTAGAAGATAAGACCTCCAAATACGTGGCTGTACAAAAAAAAAAAAGGTCAAATCGTGTTATTGGTTTTAAAATTTCAGAGAAAATTAGAATCTACAGAGATGCGACGGAATTTAGAAGGCATTTTCCAGAGCATGCAGCTGTAGCTGCTTTGAAGATATATTAAGTTGATGATGCTAAGGGAGGGGCTGAAGACAGACTGTAGTAGGGGTGGGCATGAAGATTATATGAACAAAACTTTGAAGTTACAGACATATGGCTTTTCTTGGAGATCTTTGCCAGTTTTATTTGATAACATATAGAAGGAATTTATAGGGAATAGTAGAATTCAAGCTTGGATCCTTGGTGTGAATCTGATAACTGAATCAATAGCAGGATCTTGGATTTTTCTGTTGTTTGTATTAGTTGTTAATTAGGAAAGTAGACTGAGGAGAGTTAAAGTATTGTGAGTGCAGAAGGGACCTGTTTCTTTGGATAGTGGTGGCAGGGTCACCTAGTAGGTCAAGTATATATGTAGCAAATGGTTTGTAAAATGAATTCAAAAGGTGAAGAGCATTTCCATTCAGAAAGCAGGAGAAATGGGCAAAATCTAGACGAGTAATCCAAAATTAGAGTGATAATAAATTCAGGCACTTCTCTGTCTCTTTCAGGTCTAGTTTTTCATGAGTATTTCTCTTTAACATCCTTGTCTATCCATTCCCCTGATCATACTGTATACTGTACTGTCTTATGAAATGGCTCACCTCCATCCCTGGTTTCTGAATTCATCAGCTTCATTGGATCAATCTTTTGTTCCACTCCTCTGCATTCTGTTAATTGTTCTTAATGACTGTTTTATTTTATCTTCTTTCCTTTAGACAGGAAGAGTAACCTTGACAACCCCCAATCATGTATTTTGGGGTCTGTTTACTTCCATAATAAGATACTGAAAGGAGTCACGAAGGATGGTTCATTGTACTCCATTTTAAAAGTCTGTCAAGGTGATGGCCCGTTGCAGAGATGTCAGAAAAACCAAGACAAATTTTTCAGGCAAGTAACGGTCATCAACAACCAAACAGTGACTTTGGATTCAGATCATACATATAATGCATTGGGGAAAATATTGCAAGAGTGCATAGAGTCAGATACTTCAAGACAAAGACCCCATGACTATTATACATTTAAAAAGAACTTGAAATCTAATACTGACTTGCCTAGTTGTAATAAGAGCAGTTCAAGAAAAAACCCTAATGACAGCTTTGGATGTGGGAAGTCATCTATCCATGGTGTGTCCAGTTCTGATCTTGAGAAAAGTCACAGTGGAGTAATTCCCTATGACAGTAATAAGTGTGGAAACATTTTCAGCAATAAACAATCTGATATTCAGTATCAGAATGTTGAGATTAAGGAGAAAACCTGTGTCTGTATTACATGTGGAAAAGCCTTTGCTAAGAAGTCGCAGCTGATTGTACATCAACGAATTCATACTGGGAAGAAGCCATATGATTGTGGTGCATGTGGGAAAGCCTTCAGTGAGAAGTTTCATCTCATTGTACATCAGAGAACTCATACTGGGGAGAAACCTTATGAATGTTCTGAATGTGGGAAAGCCTTCTCTCAGAAATCATCCCTCATTATACATCAGAGAGTTCATACCGGGGAAAAACCATATGAATGTAGCGAATGTGGGAAAGCCTTCTCCCAGAAATCACCCCTCATTATACATCAGAGAATCCACACCGGAGAGAAACCTTATGAGTGTAGAGAATGTGGTAAGGCCTTCTCCCAGAAGTCACAGCTGATTATACATCACAGAGCTCATACAGGAGAGAAGCCGTATGAGTGTACTGAATGTGGGAAAGCCTTCTGTGAGAAGTCTCACCTCATTATACATAAAAGAATTCACACTGGGGAGAAACCCTACAAGTGTGCTCAGTGTGAGGAAGCCTTCAGCAGAAAGACAGAGCTCATTACGCACCAGTTAATTCATACTGGGGAGAAACCTTATGAATGCACCGCATGTGGGAAGACCTTCTCCCGAAAGTCACAGCTCATCATACATCAGAGAACACATACTGGAGAGAAACCCTATAAATGCAGTGAATGTGGGAAAGCCTTCTGTCAGAAGTCACACCTCATTGGACATCAGAGAATTCACACAGGGGAAAAACCTTATGTTTGTACTGAATGTGGGAAAGCCTTCTCTCAAAAGTCTCACCTCCCAGGACATCAGCGGATTCATACAGGAGAGAAACCTTACATGTGTGCTGAATGTGGAAAAGCCTTTTCCCAGAAGTCAGACCTTGTTTTACATCGAAGAATTCATACTGGGGAAAGGCCCTACCGGTGTGCTGTGTGTGGGAAAGCATTCATCCAGAAGTCACAGCTCACTGTACATCAGAAGATTCATACCAGTGGTAAAATCATAATGAACTAAACACAGACAAGCCTTTAGTATTAGCTCAAGCCTTAATAAATAACAGGAACTGGATTAATTTGATAAATTTGTGGAAGACATCTTTTTTATTTTTATTTTTATTTTTATTTTTGTGGAAGACATCTTTATAGAGAAAATTTTACAATTCATGTCTATAGTGTGATACCTAACTCAGCAAAGATGATGGAAAGTATTTACATAAGTGAAGGACATTTTCACCATGGCATGTAAGACTTTCAGAGTTATGAACTGAGTAGTCAGTAGAACAAATTATGTGTATAGAGTATTGTCAAGTTACATATTCCTTATTATACCACATAACAATAAACAGATTGTGAAATTGCTTGGCATAATTTAGGCTTTATACAGTAATTTGCCATGAAGGACATGAAGAAATCCTGAGTTAAAAAAATCAGTTCCTAGAAGTTGCATTATAAAGAGGGGCTTAGCATGACCCCTGAAGTTTCATGTCAAATTCTTGGACAGAGATGGAGAGATAGGTTCAGTATTGATCAGATCAATAAAGGTGGTAATTATGCATTTTCCCATGTCAAGCATATAAGTTGACCTCTATCTCTGGAAGGATCCTGGACCTTGAAATTGATGCTTCTTGACCAGGTCTCCCCTTTACTCTGCCTTACTGGGAATTTGGTATGATGAAAAGACTTTGATACTGAACCAGATGGTCTGGGTTTTAATCCTGGCTCAACTGCTCAAAAGACTGTGTGACTTCAGGCAAGCCTACTTTACCCACCTGAATATTCTTATTGATAAATAGAAGTGCAATGTAGAGCACATTTTCAGTTAATATTAGTCATTTTTGTCTTCCCTCTCTATCCTCCTGTAACAGGATGCTAAGACTAATGTATAAAAGCCACAACTTGCTTTGCAGTCCAGACACTCTGCTTTTATATCTTATTCCTATGACTGATTCATTTTACTGTCTTTGACCCTGGTGGCCTTGATTCTTGGTATGTTAAAGTGACATTTTATTATACTTTTATTATTTTTTAGATTTATATAAACTGTGGTGATTGCATATAAAGACCCTGTCTAATGTCTCTTCATTTCCTTTTTGAACCCTGCCCTGCAGCCCCAACTGTTTTCCCTGGGAACCGAGGATACTTACAGAGGAAAACCCTTGGGGTAAGAATTGATGCCTGCCATAGATCTGAGAACTTAATATGTCTAAAATATCTCCTGTCCTTCCTGTGGTCCCACCTATTCCTCTATGAACAACTTGAAATGAGGACTCCTGCTGGAGGTACCCTGCAGGAGACCATACCTGGCAAGGAGGAGGGTGTCTGTATAGTTAAACATGGTTCACCCATGTTCAGATTGTCCTTTTCTTGTATAGTTTTAATATTAAGAAATGAACTAATTCTACATACAGCAACAAAGAGAAAATATAAAGATACCATTTACATCAAAAATATAAAACACCTAAAATAAGTCTAATCATGAAGTGTGGGACCTTTACATAGAAAATTATAAGACATCACTGAATAGAATTAAAGAAGGCTTAAATAAATTGAGGAACTTGTCAAGTTTGTTGGCTGGAAGACTCAGTATTAAAGATCCCAGATTTCCCCAAGGTGATTTGTATATTGCTGGGGAGATGAGGAAAAAAATAGAAATCTGAGGGAACAAGCACATTCACAAATATAAAGTAAGCGCATTTTATTACTGAACAGCAACAACAACAAAACACCACGTAGCATGCAGGTAGCCAGCAACAGG